TCGACCAGGACTATCGTTTTCGAGCAAAAAGTGAGAAAAATAGTATGTTTGGACTGGGACTGCATCCTATCTCCAAGTTTTCCTCTGCGTTGACACCAGAAACTGTTGAGGGAGAGAAAAACAATATTGTGTTTTAATCTTCTGTCTAGTGTGTCTATTTGTCATGATAAATCACCTGGCCACTGTTCAATTCAATGCATTACTCAATTTTTGAGAGAGTTTGTCGACCAGGACTATCGTTTTCGAGCTAAAAGTGAGAACAATGGTATGTTTGGACTGGGACTGCATCCTATCTCCAAGTTTTTCTCTGCGTTGACACTAGACACTGTTGAGGAAGAGAAAAACAATATTTTGTCTAAATCTTCTGTCTAGTTTGTCTATTTTTTTATGATAAATCACCTGACCACCGTTCAATTTAATGCATTACTCAATTTTTGAGAGAGTTTGTCGACCAGGACTATCGTTTTCGAGCAAAAAGTGAGAAAATTAGTATGTTTGGACTGGGACTGCATCCTATCTCCAAGTTTTTCTCTGCGTTGACACCAGAAACTGTTGAGGGAGAGAAAAACAATATTTTGTTTTAATCTTCTGTCTAGTTTGTCTATTTGTCATGATAATCACCTGGCCACTGTTCAATTCAATGCATTACTCAATTTTCGAGAGAGTTTGTCGTCAAGGACTATCGTTTTCGAGCTAAAAGTGAGGAAAATAGTATGTTTGGACTGGGACTGCATCCTATCGCCAAGTTTTTCTCTGCGTTGACACTAGACACTGCTGAGGAAGAGAACAACAATATTTTGTCTAAATCTTCTGTCTAGTTTGTCTATTTTTCATGATAAATCACCTGACCACCGTTCAATTTAATGCATTACTCAATTTTTGAGAGAGTTTGTCGACCAGGACTATCGTTTTCGAGCAAAAAGTGAGAAAAATAGTATGTTTGGACTGGGACTGCATCCTATCTCCAAGTTTTTCTCTGCGTTGACACCAGACACTGTTAAGGGAGAGAAAAACAACATTTTGTCTAAATCTTCTGTGTAGTTTGTCTATTTTTCATGATAAATCCCCTGACCACCGTTCAATTTAATGCGTTACTTAATTTTTGAGATAGTTTGTCGTCAAGGACTATCGTTTTCGAGCTAAAAGTGAGGAAAATAGTATGTTTGGACTGGGACTGCATCCTATCGCCAACTATTTCTCCGTGTTGATACAAGACACTGTTGAGGAAGAGAACAACAATATTTTGTCTAAATCTTCTGTCTAGTTTGTCTATTTTTCATGATAAATCACCTGACCACCGTTCAATTTAATGCATTACTCAATTTTTGAGATAGTTTGTCGACCAGGACTATCGTTTTCGAGCAAAAAGTGAGAAATATAGTATGTTTGGACTGGGACTGCATCCTATCTCCAAGTTTTTCTCTGCGTTGACACAAGACACTGTTAAGGGAGAGAAAAACAACATTTTGTCTAAATCTTCTGTCTAGTTTGTCTATTTTTCATGATAAATCACCTGACCACCGTTCAATTTATTGTGTTACTTAATTTTTGAGATAGTTTGTCGTCAAGGACTATCGTTTTCGAGCTAAAAGTGAGGAAAATAGTATGTTTGGACTGGGACTGCATCCTATCGCCAACTTTTTCTCTGCGTGTTGATACAAGACACTGTTGAGGAAGAGAAAAACAATATTTTGTCTAAATCTTCTGTCTAGTTTGTCTATTTTTTTATGATAAATCACCTGACCACCGTTCAATTTAATGCATTACTCAATTTTTGAGAGAGTTTGTCGACCAGGACTATCGTTTTCGAGCAAAAAGTGAGAAAATTAGTATGTTTGGACTGGGACTGCATCCTATCTCCAAGTTTTTCTCTGCGTTGACACCAGAAACTGTTGAGGGAGAGAAAAACAATATTTTGTTTTAATCTTCTGTCTAGTTTGTCTATTTGTCATGATAATCACCTGGCCACTGTTCAATTCAATGCATTACTCAATTTTCGAGAGAGTTTGTCGTCAAGGACTATCGTTTTCGAGCTAAAAGTGAGGAAAATAGTATGTTTGGACTGGGACTGCATCCTATCGCCAAGTTTTTCTCTGCGTTGACACTAGACACTGCTGAGGAAGAGAACAACAATATTTTGTCTAAATCTTCTGTCTAGTTTGTCTATTTTTCATGATAAATCACCTGACCACCGTTCAATTTAATGCATAACTCAATTTTTGAGAGAGTTTGTCGACCAGGACTATCGTTTTCGAGCAAAAAGTGAGAAAAATAGTATGTTTTGACTGGGACTGCATCCTATCTCCAAGTTTTTCTCTGCGTTGACACTAGACACTGTTAAGGGAGAGAAAAACAACATTTTGTCTAAATCTTCTGTGTAGTTTGTCTATTTTTCATGATAAATCCCCTGACCACCGTTCAATTTAATGCGTTACTTAATTTTTGAGATAGTTTGTCGTCAAGGACTATCGTTTTCGAGCTAAAAGTGAGGAAAATAGTATGTTTGGACTGGGACTGCATCCTATCGCCAACTATTTCTCCGTGTTGATACAAGACACTGTTGAGGAAGAGAACAACAATATTTTGTCTAAATCTTCTGTCTAGTTTGTCTATTTTTCATGATAAATCACCTGACCACCGTTCAATTTAATGCATTACTCAATTTTTGAGATAGTTTGTCGACCAGGACTATCGTTTTCGAGCAAAAAGTGAGAAATATAGTATGTTTGGACTGGGACTGCATCCTATCTCCAAATTTTTCTCTGCGTTGACACAAGACACTGTTAAGGGAGAGAAAAACAACATTTTGTCTAAATCTTCTGTCTAGTTTGTCTATTTTTCATGATAAATCACCTGACCACCGTTCAATTTATTGTGTTACTTAATTTTTGAGATAGTTTGTCGTCAAGGACTATCGTTTTCGAGCTAAAAGTGAGGAAAATAGTATGTTTGGACTGGGACTGCATCCTATCGCCAACTTTTTCTCTGCGTGTTGATACAAGACACTGTTGAGGAAGAGAACAACAATATTTTGTCTAAATCTTCTGTCTAGTTTGTCTATTTTTCAGGTTAAATCACCTGGCCACCGTTCAATTTAATGCATTACTCAATTTTTGAGATAGTTTGTCGACCAGGACTATCGTTTTCGAACAAAAAGTGAGAAAAATGGTATGTTTGGACTGGGACTGCATCCTATCGCCAATTTTTTCTCTGCGTTGACACAAGACACTGTTAAGGGAGAGAAAAACAATATTTTGTCTAAATCTTCTGTCTAGTTTGTCTATTTTTCATGATAAATCACCTGGTCACCGTTCAATTTAATGCATTACTTAATTTTTGAGAGAGTTTGTCGACCACGACTATCGTTTTCGAGCAAAAAGTGAGAAAAATAGTATGTTTGGACTGGGACTGCATCCAATCTCCAAGTTTTTCTCTGCGTTGACACCAGAAACTGTTGAGGGAGAGAAAAACAATATTTTGTTTTAATCTTCTGTCTAGTTTGTCTATTTTTCATGATAAATCACCTGACCACCGTTCAATTTAATGCATTACTCAATTTTTGAGATAGATGTCTTCTTTTTACTCAAAAGTCGGACATCTGTGTTGACGCGGTACGAGTAGCGACCACTGTGCATGTGGCGCGCCCTCTATTGAAAGATTGGCAAAAAATGATACTTTTTTTATCAGTTAGTCGGTGATTTTTTTGCCCAAATCTTCAAAATAATGTGCTTGAATGTTGATAGATACTCATCTGATATCGAAAGAGGTTTTGGAGTCGTTTGGAGAAAAGTCTTCTTTTTTTTGGCCACGCATTTGAGAGAAACAAAATAATAAAAGTTAATTAAACTCAGAAATATTTCAAACGTCACACCCTATACACAGAGCTTAGTAGTTGCACTCTGCAATTTTATTCAATCTATTCATTCCAGAAACCTTAAACTAGAAATCATTTGAATCATAGCAAGAAATAAAACAACAAGACAAACAAATCCAGTGTTAACCTTGTAACAATTACTGAAAAAATGCAATCATTTCCAAAAACCAGAGCGTGAATTTGGACACCAATATTTGTTAGACAAAATGAAACAATGTTAAAACAAATTATACTGTCACATGCAGTTCAAATTTCCTTTCGTAACTTTGACTGAACATACTTGTACATACTTTGAGCAGATCTATTGATATTAAAGAGGGCAATAACGTCTAAGTTTTGCAGTTACTAAATCGGACGCATGGCAAGTCTGTTCAAATAGATTTATGGTCTACTAGTATTTTTGAAGTTGAGTTTAAGAGTACATGTTGCATCAATAAACTGCAGGCTGGTAGACATTTCTGAAAAAGCAGGTCAACAATGTCAATTCTGAGTACTGAAATAAAAAATATGTCTCTAAATCTTTGAACATGGATTTTTATCAGTGGGGAAATAATGGATAAGTTGAACATAATTTTTCAATTTTCTTTTCATAATGAGGAGAAAAACATGTTTTGCATTCAAATGTTTTTGTTTTAGACAGTTTCATACCCAGTTGAAAGGAAAGAAAGATACTTGAAATGATATATGATAATATTTGACAAACAGTGCAGCTTAATGAGAAATGAAAGTAACTATTCAGCACTTGATTACAAGTACATATTATTGAGAATATTTTAGAAGGATTTCTTAAGAAAACATGATAAAGTTCTAAGAAAGGACTTTTGTTTTAGAGAAATCGTCTTTTGGGAAAATTTTATTAAAAATGTATTCTATTTTAATTCTGGCAAAATTGTTTAAATTGCTTTAAACTTACAGGATACTTGTCTGAGGCCAAAAAAATAAGTCTTCGGTTTCTGGTACGGAGCTTGCCCAAAAATTGGTGCAGCGACGCAGCATTTAAAAAAAAAAAAATTTTCTTCAAATGTCGGTGATGACTGCAAATGGTGACCGACTAAATTTAGTGCAAAATATATGTGAGCCTGCAGAGGCCACATAAAGCTTTTGCTCGATAGTAACCCCATCTAAAAACACATTAAACTTGTGTAGCAGCAGGATTTCAGTCAAACCAGTGAGTTGGGCGGTTTTGAGACATAATCTTACAATGAAAACACTTTTTAAGTTGGCTGTCGCGCATGGCTACAGTGACGCGCGCGCATACCAGAAACTGGAGCCTTTTTTGGGGGGGGGGGGGGCTAAAGTACTTGAGGCCCAATTCCAACACGATTTCTGGTCAGATATTCCATCCAACAGATAATCACATCAAAAATGTGGGAGAAATTGCGGTCACAAAAGATAACTTCTTTCCAATCAATAAACCGGTAATTTTTGCTCAAATCTTCATAAAAATGGATTTTTGAACACTGATTGAAACTCATCTTACATCGTAGGGCATTGCCGAGTCATTTGGAGGCAAGTCCTGTTTCGGCCAAATTTCATAAGAAATGTTAGGTTGAACCCTTGCAATTTGTTATGAGTTTTGGTTAAAAAAACCCAAAACTACTTGAAACTAAAAGAGCGAACTGTGAAGAAAGTTTAAAACTGCACCTTGAAGAAATACCTTACAATACAATGGCATAATTATCTCTAGAAATTTGGTCTTAGGGCATACAATCAAACCCCCCCCCCCACTTGATCAACCTAGCCCCACCCCTTATTTATCTTGATTTCCCACACTAAATATTAAGCAATGCTTAGAATCAAGAATTGAAGGCGACATGTTGACGCATCTATGGCATGCATCGTTTTATGAAGCGTGGGTAAAAGCAGACGTCCCTGATATGCATGCGGTTTAGGATCCAGGTCAAGAATCGTCCAGTCCGAGACCGTAGCCTCCGTGAGGACAGGTACCGTACTTCCTCTGTGGAGGGAATAAATACAAGAAATATTCAGTACGCACAAATTTGGCTAAACTGAGGGCCATTAGATGGAACCAGGTTCAATCAAGGACCATAGTATACAAATATGGAATGCTTGGAGTGGTGTAGTAAACCTAGCCGCCTCAGGTTATCAATGGACATTCTATTTTCCTGAGGGGAAGCAACGGGAAAATTGAATGCTCCACGGATCATCGACGGAGGCTAGTTTTACTTCGCCACGAGATAAGGCATTCAATATTTGTTTCATAACACTTCACCCACAGATTCTGCTAGGTTTTTAATACCTTAAATTACATAAATCTGAACACAGTTAAAATGAACTTCTATTTCAATACAAAATTGGTGGGTACTCTTCCAAACCACCCCTTCACAAAACGCTTGAATCCAACTCTGTGGCGCGCTCTCTTGGAAACAATACGCGCTACGCGCACGCCAGCATGCATTTGCACACAAAAACCGCACCATGGGCATAGTACTTTGGTTGCTAGTGGTATAGTATAGTCGAAGATGGTTGGACTAGTCGAAGATGGTTGGACTAGTCTAGTCGACTATTCAGGACCAGCCTACCGCGGCTGGTCGGGCCACGATTTATAGCTGGTTATCAATAGCAATTTGTCATAACATTGGGCAGAGGGGATCAACTACGATATCAAACAAAATGGCAGAAAAACAAAAATTGTGAGTACTAAATTCTACTTTCATGGCATAGTTTTTCTTTGTTAGTTTAGGATTCTGCCACTACTGTCACCATTGTACAATAAAATAATAAAATATGCAATCACTATTTAAATATTAGGCTCTGCCCTCCATCGAAGTATAAACACTGGTTACTCAGTGTGTCCCCCCCCCCAGCGAAAGTGAAAAAATCATTCGGGTGGGACTCGAACCAACGACCTCCTGCTTTCTAGTGCAGATGTCTTACCATTCGACCACCGAGCTTAAAAGCTATTATTTGTGTAAATAAAACAGAAACATCAAGTGTTGAACAAATCTTCAGCGGATGTGCGAGCACCATTTTCTCACGGCTGTTGACATGTCAATAGTTTGACTAGAGTTGTACCCACTTTAATTTCAGTGCGCATGTGCTACGTACGTCACCAACCAACCACTATTCAACCATTGGTCCTAGATCCAACTTGCTCCTAGTGCACTCAACACTCCTTTTACCACTAAAGTTGCCGAGATCTGCAAGCGCATCTCAATTTAGTCACATTGGAAAATGACTCGGACTTGGACTCAACCATGATGACTCAAACTCAAGCTTGGTGACTCGTGACTCGAATCACGTAAGTTCATCAAAAGAAAAAACCTAACGTAGGGATGGGAAAGGATCATTGAGGAATAATGTTTGGATGATAAAACATGGAGGGAAGGGTTGGAGGAAGATTTTTTAGGGATGGGAATTAAAAGGAAAACACATTTTGGGTCTAAACAACATGTACACACAACTATATACACTGGGATTTACATAAAAGACAGAATGGATGATTGAAAAATAATTAGTTTGGTGAGCAACTAAGAACAAGTAACTCGAGGACTCGAGGCTTGTGACTCGAACTTGGACTTGGACTCGAGGCTTGTGACTCGGGACTCGGACTCAAACTCGACGTTGGTGACCCACCTACAACACTGGTACTTGGTCAGAGAGTCCACTGCACCTACCAGGTAATTCTGAGTTGGCCACCCCAGGGTAGACAGGCAAAGGCCCCCAAGAGGTGACGACATGAAGCTTGTCCCTCAGCTCAGGATGGGCCTTCATCTGTAAGGCCAGGGTGTTGGAGTTGATGCCTGTACCGTCTGCTGTCTTATTAAGGATCATCTGGATGGACTTCAGATGGGAACCTGGGCAGGATTAAAAAACATTTACGAGATGGAAATGATCCTTTTTTATATTGGATTTTTATTTGCCCTTCGCCAACATATTTTGTAAACACTGTGCACTTAGTGTTGTCCGAAAGCTTAGGTGGGACTCAAACTAATGACCTCCTACACAAACAAAGTTGGGTTAAGCGCTGCTTCATCAGACTCCAAACGGCCAGCTTGCCACAGCAAGCTCAGTGGTCGAGTGGTTAATGTGTCTGCACTAGGAAGCAGAAGGTTGGGGGTTCGTGTCCAACCAGAAGTAAGCTTGTTGATTTATTTTCTTGCAAACCCTCGGCCAAAACTCAATGTGTACAGTGTTTGAAAAATATTTCAGGGAAGGGCAACAAAAAAAATAAATATATGAAAAAGATCAATAATTATATGGATGAAATCAAATAAAGTTGATTCCTACTTTCTAATTCACAATTTCGAATTTCACAACTATCCACATAGAATTGAGATGCAGACCACTGCAAATGAGTCTTCACAGATGTTTGTCTTATCTGACTGGATAATTTTACCGAAGAAACTGGCCTTGTTCTCTCCTATCTTTTCGAGTCCTCGATGGGTAATCCCAAATCCGCTCAGTGAATGGACGTAGTTGTAGGCCCAAACAGATCCACGTAGGTCCTCAAACACTTTATATCTATCATTGAAATATCATCAATACAATTATGATTAGCATTGAAATATTTACATAGAATCAGGGGGGGGGGGATGTCAGGGGAAAAAAAGGGGTTGAGATTATATTCCCCCCCCCCAAACAAAAATGGACAAACACACTTTCCCCTTCCCAATTGTCACATTTGTGGAAGACAGTGTTCTAGTGAAGGTTTGCAGTTTGCAGTAACACCATGTAGGCATGCAGAGTCTCTTTTGGGAAGATGTGTGGTTCTGAAAAGAACCACACATCTTCCCAAAAAAGACTTCTACATGGTGGCATCGCAAACCTTTACTAAACCATGCCACCACGTAGTTAGACCAAGTAGTTAGCCCTTGCAAATTGTCTTGCAAAGATGTTCAAACAACAAAACTGAGAACATGACAACATCAACTTGATCGTAAGGCAAGGCAGAGACTGATTTCAAATAATATAATAATAATAACGTAAATTTATACTGCGCCATTATCCGCCATAAATGACACTCATGGCGCAAACAAACATTATATCAAATCAGAAATAACAAAACAATTAAATGTAACTAAACCAGAACATTCTGAGTGTTCTGAAACACATAGGTCTTTAGGGCAACTTTAAATTCAGAAAGCGATGAGATATTGCGAATGGCGAGGGGTAGTTTGTTCCAAAGATGAGGACCTGCGTGAGAAAATGATCGATCACCCCAAGATTTGTGAGTGTGAGGGACAACCAGCAAAGAAGCATCAGAAGATCTCAATCGCCTGGATGGATTATACGGAGTTAATATGTCTATGTTGTATTCAGGAGCTGAATCATGAAGGCAATGAAAAACAAACAGTAACAGTTTGTACTTAGTCCGGTCAGCAATGACAACAACCCCAGAAAGTGAAGAAGAAACTCTGATCAGATGACAACCAACATTTGCCCAGGAAAAAAAAAAGGCAACTGATGAACAGAAATCAAATTGTGAATTGTGAATTAAAACTTCCATTTGACTTCATTCCTTATCAGATCAAATTGAATATCAAACAGAAGGGAATTACAGAATTGTTGTATGGGTAAATAAATCAACATCCAGGGGAAGAACACAATTCATTATGGGGAAAAAGACAAGAAGGATTGATAGAAAAGAAAATCTCCTCCTTTTTTGCTGTTGTCTACATCTACATATACCTTTGTACAAAGTAATATTAGTGCTTAAAGATGTTTTGAGTGAATGTTACTTTCCGTCATCAGTAACATGACCAAATTGAAACCAACTACCAACTACCTGCTCCTCCGTCCAATCACATCCATATACTGTCATTATCCCCAAAGCCATTTTCAGGATGTATTCATCAAGTTTATTCCCATGTGAACCGTTGAACCAACTACAGGATGAGTCAAAAAGAAAGTGACCGAATTTGAAAAAAATGTTTCAAATATTTGGCTCGTTCTATGTTAATAAAAAAACATGGATAAAGTACATCTTATCAGACTTGTATGACTCGTGACTCGGACTCGGACTCAAGTCCAACTCGAGTCACATTTTTAATGACTCGGACTGGGACTCGAGTCACTTTGATTTACGACTCGGACTCGGACTCGGGGCTACGGACTCGGACTTGGACTTGAACTGACTTGTGACTCGATGGAAATAACCGCACTGCACACGCGCACATATATAATTCGATCGTTTTCTTTACTGTGCAATACATGTACAGGGCGCTCGATGTGGTGCGTGCGTGGCCGTTTACCGATATATTGACTTATAGAAATCAATGCACTGAAACTTGTACCCCGCCATCAACACGCAATACTGCATTGGTGCAAGATTGATAGGGTTAGGTACCAGACTTTTCTTGTCAGACGTCCTGTCGTTCACACGTGTATTGCTGTCGCATCGCGATAACGCGATATGAATAGTCTGCTGATCTGCCCGTTTCGGTAACTTTACTGCAAGTTGCAACTTACGTAGATCATGATGGCATCCACTTCAAAAATTGTCAATTTTGGATATCTTAACTTCAAGAGAAATGCCAATGGAAGATCAAGTGCAGAATGCAAGTTCTGCAGGAAGAAAATAGAGGAGAAAACCGGCACTACGCGTACATGTACGTCCAACTTCAATCGCTACCTTTCACGACGTCTATAGAACTTAGAAGTCTAAAAAAAGATATTTGAAACGCCTGAACTTCAAATGCAAAAGTTAGGCCAATACCAGTTTTGTCTGAATTGCCTTTATAACTGTTTTTGCAAATGAACTCCTCATTTCCAGAGAAAATTAGAGAAAAGCTGTGGGGAAAAATGAAAATTTACAGCACCTGAAATGTACGTATTTCCATACTATTATCAAAGGTGACTCTGAATCTCTGAATTCCCTAAAATGTACGTTTTTTGATACAAAGAGGTGACTCGTGACTTGGACTTGGACTCAACCTTTGTGACTCTCTGACTCGGACTTGAACTGGTGGACTCGGGACTCGGACTTAGACTCGAGAAATGTGACTCGAATACAAGTCTGCATCTTATTGACTATTAACTGTGAAAATTTCACTTAAATTGCAAACTCTATTCCCAATTCATGTCTATTTCAATAAAACGATCACAAAACTTGGCTGTCCACCACTTATCAATTACCGTGCTGCAAACTGATAATACATCTCCCAATGAGGATAATGAAACATCAATTGTTTTCCCACCTCCATGAATGAACAAGAACTTGCAAAGGAAAAGATACAAAATCACCATCGATATTTCGAAGAAAAAAAGAGAGTTAACTTGCTTCTCATATTAAAAAAACACAACCTGATAGTAAAAATTCTCTTGATTTCAATTATTAAAATCTCATTTGTATTTGAATACTTGTGTGTAATCTGTAATTCTCACTTAGCTCATTTAGCTTTCAATATTATCGCATTCCTTGCACAGCTACACAAACAGGTTCTTTTTAGTAAAACATGCATAACTTCGGATGGCACGATCAAATTTAGTGATTGGGTTTTTTCCAGATGAGTGTAAGAACATGCTCTTTTAAGACATATTTCTTCGGGTGTATCTAATTTGATTGCTTAAGTAAAAAAACAAATCTTGAGTGCGGGTCACTTTTTTTTTAATCACCCTGTATAAACACAATGTGAACATGCATCTCTCATACACACTAAACTTAATTGTCTTCATTTTCTATCATCCTCTTTTTTTTCTGTCTTTTCTTCTTGTGCGGTAGCCCTCACATTGAGTGGCAGTTATGCCTTGTAAAAAGAACAATTACATGTACACAATACGCATGTTTAATCTGGAGCCAATCATTAAAAATGAAACAAATTCAATTCTCAGATTTCATGTCAGTGCAAGTAGTGAAACTGACTCACATGCATCTGCTTTGGTTACAGGAACTGATACCACAAGATAGTCACATGCATTAAAATCGGACAGAAATGTTGGGGGAAAAAGAAGGAAAAGAACAAGAAACTTTCTGTTTCAATTACACTTTGCTCAAGGTCTTACAATCCCTGTAAGTATAAATCTGGAGTGATCTTGAAATAGAGAAGAACATTCTTTGCTGCATCTGAACAACATGTGGCTCACGGAGCTCAATGCTACATTGTGCATGAACTATGGGTGATGACTACCAAAACAGCTCCACTCCATCAACTGGGTGGAAAACTGAAGTTGAAAAGCATCGTGAGAACTTTTACATGAGTGGAGAAAGAACTAAACAAATAACATGGTTAAGTGCTGAAATCATTGCACCAATCGGCCTCTGCTTAAACTTTGTCTTTCTCTTCACAGTCATTCGAGTGAAGTCCATGCGTACAATCATCAACATCTACTTATCCAATCTGGCTGTGGCTGACTCCCTCTACCTTATGAATTACTTCATATTTGCACTGTCTTCACCTACAGAGTACAACTTGTTGGTCAACAATGCAATATCAAGTGGCCAATGCACGTTCATCGCTACTTCTAATTTCTTTGTGGTTACCATAGCAGCTGAGAGATTCTCTGCAGTGCGCAATCCTATAACGTTCAAAGAAAAGGCCTCTAAATCTCGAGCAGCAAAGATATCAGCAGGACTCTGGGTGCCAACAATTATTGTTGGTGTGATTCTGATTTTCGTACCATTAACAGAAGCTGTCTCCGATAAAGTCTACTTTTGGATTCTTTCCATTATCAACATTGTCTCTTTGATAGCAACTCTTGCTTTGTACATCTATGTAGTATGGAAAGTATGCAAGCAATCAGCCCTGTTTCCGAACCGTCCCAAGCGAGCAGGCAAGGTTCTCTGCATGGTTATCATCAACACTGCTGTTTTCTTCATTCTGAACTCACTGTACACTGCAGCTACAATTATGACAATTCATGTAGGTGTAGTGGCATCAAAGTTTACTTCAACTGCTCAGACTGTTGCCAATCTGGAACTTGGAGAGACAATAAATATTCTGATTATATGCATTGCAATTTTGAAACTGACCAATAGCTCAATTAATTCCCTAGTCTACAGTGCCACAAACGCTGACTTTCGTGAAGCTGTAGTCAAGGCTTTCTCATTCCTCAAACTGTGCTGTCGTTGTTGCCCAAGACAGAATCCCAGCCGATCATCGCAGCCAGGGAAGCAGATTGAGCTTCATGTGATTCCGCGGGCAGAAAATGACCAAGAGCACCGTGCTGCCAGGCCAAGCAGCAGCAAGCCACCAAGCCAAGGGCATGCACAACACACAGAGAGTCAGAAGTCACTGGACAGCTGTCGAGAACAATGTTCCAGGCCAAGCAGCAGCAAGGCATCCATGCACAGTCAGCAGCATGTTCAAGTGCATGTTGAGGTACATGCAGAACCAGCAGGGACCCCAGCGCTTGCAAGTTCTCATCAGGAACAATGCTCTAGTCTGACTGACTGCAAGCTATCCATGCAAGGGGAACAGTGTGAACATCCAGAACCAGCAGAGAGCCAGCAGTCACTTGCAAGTACTCAGGAACAATGTCCTGGGCTGACTGACACCGAGCCATCAGCACAAGGGCAGCAGTATGCACATCCAGAACCAGAAGGGATTTAATCTTTGGAAAGTTGTCAAGAACAATGTTCACTGGTACCTGATAAGTGCAAGCTGTCTTTAAGGGCAGCAGTGTGTAGAGTGAGTGCTGCTTTTGAACTTGCTGTGTTCAAAGTGTAGAGCAGATTTAAGGCCGTTTCATACATCTTCTTCATTGGAATGCCAATTAAGTAGATTTGACATTGAGAAACATTAACAACACAATATGCTGGAGTTGAAATGTGTTTTACTTCAGCGAATTGCCAATACATGTACGCACCATGACATCAGTAATGTGCAGGCCCGCCCAGAGCAGATTGCAACCAACTATCAGTAAAGGGAACAGCTGGTATTCATGCAATGTATGTATGTAAAAGGTTCAGAAATTAACACATCCCAAATAGTTTAATTATTTGAATCAAACTTTTGTTCGTATTTTAAGGTAGAGTAGATCATTTGCAGCTATCCAAAAGGTAACTGACGAAATTATTGTTAAAGGCTTTTGGTTTTAATGGCACTAAACTCCCTGTGAAATCATTCTTTTTGGCATGCTGTTGTTTTGAAGGAAACAATGAAAGAAAGCAATTTTCAACGATGCATCATGTTAGTTCATGTAGTTGGTTTGTAAATTCGGTGAATCCATGAATATGTGCGCACAAGCGTCGACACGCCGCACACGCACACTAGGTTGCTATTATTCGTCAGTTCAGTGCATGACATCACGTAGCTGCAATTGACTGAATGAGAATGTGTCCCTGGGGCTGAATTCGGACGCAATATAAAACGTGACTCAGCAACTTTTGAATTGAACCCGAGATCCTTGACTATAGTTTTCTCGGAAGATACTGCATTCACAGAGTTAAACTTCATCGTGTTAATTGTTAAGCACCCGTTTTCATATTTTGAGCACTTTTGATGCTTCAAATGAAAAAAAATGCACAAATGACAAATGATCTACCCTTCCTTTTAATGAGCAAGTTTGTTACTTTCTTCAGTGTGAAAATGTACAAGTAATGGTACTAACATATGGATAACCCTGAATTTTTTCCACTGTAAATAGGTTTTTATTTTAGGAACTATATTCCAAGTCTTTGGATGTTTCAGGCTTTAAAATATTCCGTATTCACGAGCAATACAGCGATGTAATGAGCTGGAACTTCAGTGTCACTGCTGTTTAAGGGGACAAAATGTAACAAAAGTGTTTTGATCAAGTTTGATGTGACTGTTGCGTTCATTAGCACATACCATGCAGCCAGTGAGATACTTAAATGTACAAACCTTTACACATGTACAATGCAATCAATTTTAGGTACATAAATTATGCAGAAAATCCCAAAGCTGTGAAGTGTAAAATACCTACAATGACATCACAGCAACATTAGAAACAATGGCGAACATGCGCACGGGCATTGCAAAAAAGTGTGCGTAAAATGTGGTCATTACTTTCATACAAACACAGGGCTAGAATATTTCATGTTTTAGTGAAATTCATTTTACAGCCTTTTGATTCTGTTATTAACAGACCTTGACAAATCCCAAGCATGGAGCACAATACATACATACTCCTAAAAAGGCACAAACTGTATGATTATTGTTATTGAGGGTTCAATGTTAAGGGAGCAAACTCACCACAAATCCAAAATGTCTTGGGAGGTTTAGGATCTCAATCTTGAAGATCTCTGAGGTGAAAAGCTGTTGTGTCAGATAGCGGTAAGGATCCGTTATGGCAGTACCAGTCACCGGTACGTCAGAGGTGCTGGTGGAATGGTTATCTTGTGGGTTAAGACCTGATGCACAAAAGAACAGATTAAAAAAAATTGATATGGCAAGAGCTATATTGTCTAGGTCTTCACCCAAAACAATTACATGGGAACAATCTGACAATAGCCGTAGCCATAGCTCTAGAAGCCCGTTTCAGACACAGCCTAAGTAACAGATCAACAAAGTTGCAAGTTATGCATTAGGAGCATCTGATTCCAAATACATTACACCAATCTTTGTGCATACATGTAGCACAACGTGGAAAATACTTTTTGAAAACCAAATAAAGCGCAGAATTTTTGTTCTTGAATTCTATCTTTAGCAAGGAGAAATCCAATTGAATAGATGTTTTGCTGCAGAGCACAGACATATAATATGAGACCATTGTAGGCTTTAGATGTACAGTATGGGATTTAAGTCTGGTGTATTAAAGGTGTCATCACAGCTACTGGCTGGAAAAAAAATGTAGTTGATAGTTAAAGTCAGCAATTTGTACTCCACTTCTGTCAATAGAGCGTACAAGTTGACCTCAAAAACCTAGGTGATTTTACTAGGTATATCCAGTCAAGGGCAAAGAATGGGTTCTGAACAAGAAAAAAATCGTTCCAATTTACAACACATTCAAAAAATATTGCAAGTTGATTACTATAGTAAACTGAAAAAATGTTGACCTCCACTTCCATTCACTGGGTAAATTGGGTGAATTCAAACACGGGAGTCTGTGGCTAGACTAGTCAGTGTTTGGTACCAAGATGTTCACATGAAAAGTGAATGTGAACTGGTGAAACTTTCATGCTCTATAATTGTACATAATCTGTGTAGCACCACTAGTCTGTTGTATTACATTATGAGCTCCACGTCTGTATGATGTTTAAATGCAAAGCAATATTATAATATTTATTATAGATGGACTCAAGGGTACTTCAAATTTGGGTAATTGAACAATCAATGCTGTAAAATATGAATGTCGTTGTAAAGTTAGCATCATACAAGATGTATCTTAATTTGCACAGTATCCGAGGAATTGCTGCTTTTCATATGTTCATTAAAGCTGTGATTTCCTTGTGTAATTTAAAACTCTAAACACAAATAATACAGAAATGTACTATCACCAAATCGGTGTTTGAGCTCTTACGTCTTTCTGATACCTAGTAATATTTGGAAGAAAAGAAATTGCAGGGCAAACCATGTTTCTAAAAGTCACATACTTTTTACAGAACAAACAAATTTGCATGTAAAAGCAAGAGCAGTGATCAAATAATAAAATTGTACACTAGCAACATTTAAACAAACAGTGATTTTCCTGAATTTTGTATTTAAAACCTAATTCTTGCTTTTTTACAAATGTAATTGTAGAAAAATCCCTATTGAGTAAAAGAGCTTGCTGGTCAATGTTGAAAGTACAAACATATACCCTCAATATTCATACCACAAAAGAAAGCCAACATATTGGTCAGCAAAGGGGATGACAAGGGTTTAAGTCTTTTGTGGCTTGTTTCTTTCTTTTCAATAATTAATTCCTGACAGACAAATTAGACAATGCACAATATGTACACCTGGCAATCTTTCTGTGTGTTGCATTCTGATTGGTTGGAATTGATCAGCATTAGCTACTAATAGGCCACGCCCCTCGACAGCCGATCCAATCAAACATATAAGCTGATCTACGTCTTTTGCAAAAAGGAAACTTCAGAGGAAATACTTACTTTTGTAAGCGCCAAGCCGGAAACCAACAGTGTTATCTGTCAATGAAAATAATAAGACATGAAACTGAAACGTTTGCACAATTTATCCAGGGCCAAGTTTCATGTAGGCCTGACAAGAATTTAGGGGAATAACTGAGAAAAATAATTCCTGCAACTTTCAGTTGCGGTGTTCATAACAGGCACATTGTATGAAATGTTATGTCCATTCCAGGCAATGTGCACTTTGAACTTAATGATGCAGTGCTTTGAACACCAATACTGGTGGATAGGTGTGCTCTATCTTAAAAGAACAGAAATGCTTTGATGTTGAACTTTACTTTCATTTAAGAGTGCCTAGGGTTGCTCTTCGCTTCCCTCAGAACTACTTCAACTTCTTTGTAGAGTCATGTTGACAGGATTCAACAAGCAGCATTTTTCCCAACACATGATGATGCCATTGCCCATCCCCCCACCTCTGGTCAAAACATGGGAGGGGTGGTGGGGATAAATCCCCCACCCCCTGGTGTTTATGCTGTGAGAGAGACCCAGTTTGCCAGTAAGTCCACAAACAGTTGGTCTCAATCTACCCCTAAATGAGAGACATTCTATAAGCAGGGGGTGGGGTTCACGTCCCACCAATGACACTTCAGAGTTGCCCAGAAATCATCAAAGGCAAAGGATGCAGAACCACAAAACGTAGAGGTTGGATAAATAAAAAAAAATGAATGCCAGTTTCACTCACCGATGCCATAGACACTCTTTCTGATGGTAAACTCACACTTGTTGCGATAACTCTCTAATACTGGCTGTTGATGAGGAAACAAACAATGAAAATTAAAGGGACAAATCAGACATCTCCAATGTCAGGAATATTTATCCCACAAAAGATTCACACACCGTAATGTTAGTCTATCATAAAATCCTGGTTGAAATATTAATTTAGTTAAAGGTGACTCTATCTAGCTGCCCAAGGTCACATCAGTCAAGCTAACCTAACACTAACTATGTGCCAAAGTAAACTTACGCTGAGATTTTAATTCATAGAACCATTCACTAAACTACAGATGAATTAACATAAAAATCAAGTCTTTGTAGTCAACAAACATCGGTCTCTTAGCTCACTCACCGATGGCTTAATTGGCTGCAACTCACATGCCATCCCACTGTGGTTCTTCCTGTCAATCAAATGAAGAGTGCACTATTATTAAACATGAGGGTGTGGGTTCAAGTCCCTGCCAAGCTAGCTTGTGAATTTGTTCCAGTGGTTCTCACAGCTATATACGTACAAGATTCAAACTGGCTCTCCAACCTTGGCAAGCTCTTTTGTCAAGTTGTTAAAGGCCCTGTCACACTGTCACGTCCACGCCTGGCATTCATATTGCGTAGTTGAAATGCTTAAAAATGTAACAAAACACCATAAAGATGCAGGATTCATGGCACCAGTGGCTTGCAATGCATTTCTGTGAAGTCCACCGGAAGTCTACGACGTCCGTGTGGCGTTCCATAGCGTCTATGCGGCGTTCTCTATGAGTTCCGTTGAAGACCAATTAGAGGTCTGCGCAGCGTCCTCTGTGTCCTCGCTGTGTCCGCATGGTGTCCAATAAGTTCATACCATGCTCTTGGAGTTCTTATCGTGCGCTTGATGCGACCTTAAAACATACGTGTAACATCAGCAGCCAGAAGTGCGTCGTGTATAAATACTCGGGCCAAAATTGGCGATAGTCATTGAGTCTTCACATTTTGAACGGCATAGACGCAGGAGACGCAGAGAAAACGCGCAGTCCTGATGCATGCACGTCCATGGAGTTCTTACAACGTTGCTCACGTCTGCCTGCGCGTTGCCAGTACGTCACGGCCGTTCGTGAGGAGTTTGCGCAGAGTCCTTGCCGCGTTCTGGTCAAAACGCTGAGGTGCAACGTTTGTTTTGTGCATATCCAAAACGAACACGGCAGTTTGGTGGTCAGCGAAGTCCTTGGAATCCCTCTGCAGTCCTCAACTAGTATCAATGAATCCCCACGCCGTCATCTGCATTCCCACCGCGTTTAAGTCAATTTTCTTGGTAGCAGTACAAACTCCATGCCAGAACGTGACACTGTGAGAGGGCCTTAAGATGTCTGCACTAGTAAGCAGGAGGTCATGGGTTCATATCCCACCCAAGAAAACTTTCAAATTTGCATTGGTGAATGGCAAACCAGATATTAACATTCACAAGTCCCCTACGTAAACAATCCATTAAACTCATTGGTTGTGGTAACTGCTATATCAGATTGGAACCAGCCAGTCAGCCCCAGCAAGCTTGGTGGTCAAGTAAGACATCTGCACTAGTAAGTAGGAGGTTGTTGGTGCAAGTCCCACTCAAGCAGCTTTTGTAAACTTTTTTCTCGTGAGCTTTTTCCTTTGTTTTGTGTGTGTGTTTTGTGTGTGTGTTTTTTTTATTCTACAAGACCTGTGTGTGTGGAGAAGGGAGCTTATTTCGTAAAATTTGTTAAAACCTTAACTGATTCTCAAACAAATGGGCATTTTCTGGGGTTTTAACAAGTTTTCAGGGCAGCTCGCCATAAAACTGTGTTTCGAAACAGTTACTTGTCAAGGAAGACCACATTTCCATTCTGGCCCACAACCATCCTGTGTCTTTGGTGAGTAGCTCACCTTTGTTGCTTCAGCCAGGGAGACATCTCCCCAATGTTCCATTGCAGCATCTTGGATAATTCCTCAGAAACTCCCTGGTGTTGGTCTGTTTGGTGGATAGCTGGTCCTCATACGGCTGGTTCCACAGTGGAGTCACCATGTTGTTTAACCTGCAGATTGGGAGAAGAGCAAAAATCACCCTCAGTATTTCAGAGTCTTAAGAATTTCACAATTGTGAATGCTTCAACTGCTATTACCCTTTTTTGAGAGGTGGCAGACACAATCGAAGGGCGCCATTTGATTTGGGTATATTTGGGGTCAATACAAAAGACTCACCCAAACCAAATATTACCCTCGTATTGTGTCCACCATATCTCATTATGGGTAATGGATAGTGAGTGGAACTTGTGATCTTTCTACATACAACCATTCTCATAACTTCAGTTCGTAGTTCTGGTGGTGCATGTGCAAAGTAAATTTTAGGCTTGAAACACTAAGGGAAATGTGTTCAACTTGTAAAGTTTATCAGATAAAATAAGAGTCATTGAAAGTGTGAATCACAAACTCTACACAGACATGGAAGCTTTGATGCTCTCCCTTCAAGGAGAATAAATGATAAGGAAGAGAAAACTGACCACGTAACTATTCCACTCAACAAATTTCATGTTCACAATTTCAAATGGGCTATGGAACTGACTGGTTGGGCTCTTAAAATAGTAATCTCTGGATGTAAGAATGGTTTTCTTGTGATGATCATGAACTACTTGAACTACTCAAAAAATCTACTACAGTGAAGGAAATCACATTCTTTGAACTTCCACTTTCAAGGGGTATCAAGCCTAAATGGCAGTATAGGCAGGGGTCTACCTTCCTATATCCTACAAAATCCTCCAAAATAAATGGACAGGACAGAATCGATAAATTCCATCAAATAAGCCTTTTCTACACTTGCATGATTTTAATACCACAGAGCACAGTGGAAGAAATGAGTGTTGTAATGACTTCAGTTGGTTGATAACCGGAGTACTTTTCTAATGGATGGTGGTTCGAATCCAGCCCAACCCTGCATTCTATCTCAATGTCTTCACCTCTCTTCTACTGGTCAGCTGTCCTCCTCCTTCCTCCTCTTAGCTTCTTTGGTGTTTTCATCAGATTCCTCTTGGCTTCTCTTCAGAGCGAGGCTCTTAGTGTCCGGGTCCTCAACTGGCTTGGCAAGCTACGGGAAAAGAGTTATTGCAGGAACATGAACCTGTAACCACAGTAATAGCAGCCACTAGACCCCTTGCACTGGTAGCCAACACTAAGACTGTTGATTAGTTATTTCAATTCATTGAAAGTGCCGACAGAAGCAAGTACCAATAGTAAAAACCACAAGTGACTTTGTGAATACCTTGGCTTTGAGCACTTGTCCTTTCCATTTGTGTCCGTTGAGTACTTTCAATGCCTCCTCCTTATCTTCTTGGCAGCTGAGGGATGAAACAAACAATTGGATTTCCATCAGTTAATCCATCGCAAGCAACCGAGTGCAACAGGAAAGGAGATACCGTAGATGGAATGTTTGTGTTGTGGGGGAGGATTTTTTCGAGTTTTATCCAAAAAAATTAGATTTCTTTTCTATTGTACATAACATTACATTGTACATAGCAGCGAGTACCGCATCTACCTATTCATAAGATGGAATTTTGCGTTGGGGTGATGTAAATCAATATTAGGCTTCGCTCTTCACCGAAGTATAAACACTGTATACTCATTTCTGAATTGCTTTTTTTCTAGCAATACAACAGATATTCACTTTTGAACACAAAACAATCAGTTAATGTTTAGTTATTGAATTATTACTTTACAATTTCAAATTATTGGCTGACAGAAGATATTTCTGTTCTCGAGAGGCTGCCTGGTTCCTGCCCCACAACCAGTATCGATAGTGCTTGGATGAGGAACCAGTCTGCCAGCAAAGTGGATCAGTTTGTCCCGAAACCAAAGAGAAAAGTTCATGGATGCTTTGTAAGTATAACAATTGAAAACAGAAGTCTAAGTACACTTTCCATTTCAAGGAGGAGAGTGTGGTTTCAATGCTACTGTATGTTGATGGATTGACTATTTATATCTGTATTTTAAATTTCTTTCTTGATTATCCAAACATCAAAACTAAAACTTGTATCAAATTTCCCTGTGCTCTTATTTGTGTTTCATTACGTCAGCACACTCAACTTTCATCCTTTAACAAGCTCCCATGTCACTCACTCCTGACTAGGATTTTCTGGCGCCAGTTTTTCTTTCATGTCTCAAACATTCATCCCTATCTTGCTCGTTATTTGTGCTGGCAAGTTTCCTGAGCACTCCAAATTCCAACTAGAAAAACCCATGGCACAGTCTTTGCAATAATCATCATTAAACAATAGAAAAAGGTAAGAGATCCACTCTTTGCTGGGTTCGAAAACGAAACCTTTTTCCCTCCATTTTATCAAGAACAGAAAAATTAAAATACATTGGACATTTGTGAGGATTTAGTACAGCTAAAAATAGATTACACCTCCCTTTCGGAACGAAGAGAAATACACACATGCATGACATGGGCAAGCATTATGAAAGCAAGCGTAACGTACAGAGCCAGTTAACCTTGATATCTAATTCATAAATACCTAAGACCATTTACGCATTCCTATTGGTCGAGAGCCCGTCACGTGGCCGGTCTTAAACGGATGATAAAGACATGGCTAGCTGGTCGTAAACACTTTTCTAGTGTCACATGAAATTTGGACTCCCATGAAATCCGGTGCCTATTACGTTTCATTGGTTGAACGCTCAAATTCCCCACGTATGCATGCGCAATACTACCAGTGAATCATAGTCCGATATTCGTACTACACCAGTCCAGCTGCGTTTTTCGCGACATCGCACAGTACGCCCGACCATGGTGGTGAAATGCGCGACTCGCAGGCAAGAACAAAATATCTCGAAATTAAATTCTTTCCAGGATAATCAATTAATTTGTTTAAAAAATGCATCTTTAACAGTGTGATAAATTTTAGTGAACATTCTATGTACACACACAAGTTATTTAATTTCTGGCTTGATAACGTCAGTGAATACTGATTTAGTTCGGAGTGGATGTTCATTGTGAAGTTAAAAAACGTATGAAAATTTGGAAAATATAAATGTATGTATTCATAGCACCAAACTTCTGGTTTGATGACGTCACAGTATTTGGATGCAAAGGTCAACATTGTCATGGATATCATTTTTTGGGCTACAAAGATATTCATATATCTTCATAGCCCAAAGAAGGATCAAAAGATTCAAATTCTCCTTAAAGTAACGTCCAGTCTGATGACATCATGAATTTGAAACCTTGTCAAGTTATCTGTGTTTAATCAGAGAATATCAAGGGGTGATTTGGTTAAAATTTGAACCTATGGTTTAAAAATGAAAGAAAAGGAACACTATTTTATGTGCCGCTAGGGACGTGAATTCACTTAACTTTGACCTTCTGGTAGAACCAGAAGTAAAGGTCAAGCGAGTTCACGTACACACACAAAAATATTCATCAATTAATGGTCTATCCAATTACAAGGTTGGAACATAATTGATCATTTTGTTCAAGAGTTATAGATGAAAGAAGATCGTCATTTTTTAGCGAAAATCGCTTGTAATTTCACACCCGATGACGTCATAATATGCACCATTTAGGATGAGGGTCGATATATATTGAAAGTTACATGTTTCTATTATAAAATGTTTAGGAGAAAACCCGCAGAAACGTGCTGTACAGAAAAGAAAAAACTAGAACGGCGAAGCCGCCATGGCTCGCTGTCCAAGGCAGGAAGGGAGGCCGAAGGTAGGGTTGGGGATGGGCATGATGGAAGGGGATCAGGATTCTTGTTGATGTGCCTAGGTGTAGGGGTCAGTTTTTAAATGTCAACATAAAAAGTCAACAGATTACCTAATAAATACATGTGTATATAGGTTAGCCGTCACTGTATTATGGGGGAGTTTTCCATTGTTAGGGTAATTAGGACCCAGTTGTGGATTTTTGCAGCGCCAACAGTGTCTTCTGCCCCCCATACTTGTATTACCATGGGAAAACTCTTGTGTAGTCGCCACAAATGCAGAACAAGAATGGGTAAACATGTACATGAAGACACAGCACCATCACCACCTCCCCCAAACCTTAATTACTCCATCCCAAAACCTTACCCCATCCCCAACCCGCCCCCTCCCCCTCCCCCACCCAACCCCCTACTCACACCCATTCCATCCTCCCCTAACCATCCCCACCCTATCACCTACACATCCCAACCCCACCCAAACTCCAATCCCTATCTCCTTCCCCCTCCTCTGACCCGTACCCTCCCCTACCCCAACCCCCTACACCTACCTACCCTATCTTCCACTATCTGTCCTTACCCACCCTACACATCCCCACCCTAACCCTTACTCGAATTCCAATATCCCGCCCACCCCATTCCCCCACCCATACATCCCCACCTGACCCCATGCAACCCCTACTCTGATCCCTATATACTGCCCCCTCCCCTTATCCAACCCCTACAATAACCCATCCCTACACATCCCCAACCCAACCCCTACTCCGATCCTACATGTATATCCCGCCCCCTGCCCAACCCCCTCCTAACCCAACCCCTACATCCATGCCCATCCTCTCCCTACCTGTCTCTCCCTACCTGTTACCACCACACCCCTACAAACCCCCACCCCACCCAAACCCAGTATTCCAACCCCTCTCCCCACCCCACCCCACCCCGCCCCACCTATCCTAGCTCCCCTACTCATCCTACTCACACAAACCCTAACTCCAACCCTATCCCCCAACCCACCCCACCCCACCCTCCCCTACCCCATCCTTACTCCAACCCCATAAACTAAAAGATCAAACCAGAAGCTCATGCACATTCCCAAAATGCATAGTGTACATGTACATGTTATACCGGTATACATGTACATACACGTACATGTTATACCTGGTACAAGTAACAATTAAAAACTTTAACATTTCCTTGAATTAAATTAATAAAATTTACTGCAATGATATGAACCTAACTGAAGTCATAGAGATGATACATGACAACTGCATTTAATTTTTTCCCCAAGTTAACTAGAACCAAAAACTTCAACATTTTTATCTGAACGCGGACGGCCGGACGGACGGACGCCCGGACAGACGGACAGAAATTGGTATTACATAGGCTCGCATCTGCTTCGCAGCTCACCAAAAAGGAATAAAGATTAATCGTAACAAATCCAATGAGTGGTCGGGTTGTGCCCAACCACTCAATAAATGTAAAAAACACTAGATATTTTAGAAAACACTGTTAAAACAATGAAACTTAAAATTACAAAAACAAGACCCACATTTAAAATAGATAATAGTAAAACCTAAATACGAATGCCTTTGTAAAAAGAAAAGTCTTAAAGCTTAGTCTTAAAAACTGTTAGAGACCCTGAACAGACTGAATTTCAGGTGGCGGCTGGTTCCATAAACTAGGAGTGGCTTGTGCAAATGAACGATCCCCTATAGTCTTTTGCATTCTCCCAGATGGATAATCTAAAAGCAACCGCCCATTGGACCGCAGGGAATAGTTGGAATCAGTGGCGTACGCAGGATTTTTTCAAGGGGGGTGTTTCAAAATTGGATGTCATCATTAATGACGCTAGAAATGAAGATGGTAAATTGTGTTGGCGCCAGAAATAAAAGAGGGTTACACTCGAAGGGCCGGGAACCCACGACCATCAGTTATCTTTTTGAGCTAAAGCATAGTAAATCAAAAAAAAAAACCATGTTCTGTGTCTTTAGGGTATATGATGAACATATGAGTAAAGGGGTCAATGTGGGCAGTCCTCTCCCTCAACATCATTTAAAAAAAAAGAAAAGAAGAAATTCAAGAAAAAAAGTGACACGGGCTGCGGAAGTGCTAGGATCTGTTCTTGTAATTGGCTAAAATTACTCAGCTTCGTCCCCTGGATCTCATGATTCTCATCCGTTGGGAATCTTTGTGTAAACCGCCCCCACCCCTAAGGCCAAACTGCAGATACAGGATACATATGCGCTCTGGTAACAGGGTCGGATCCCGACTGCCATTTGCCGGGGGGCCTAGAATTGTAATGAAGGGTCCAGGACCTGCAAGCGTGCAGCGCGAAGCCCTTATGGCGTGGGATATTTTTGGATCGTAGATGCTCTGTGGTGCAATCTGAGGCGTTTCCTGGCCACCTTCCCCTGATTTTTTTAGCAGAAGTTTTTGAAATTATGAGGGGATATTTTGTTTCATTTGTTTCAAATACGTATAGGCCTATATACTCTTGCTCTTATAAAGTGTCTTCTGTACTCAAAGCTTAAAGTTGAGAACATGCACATAATCTGTAATTGTTCCGCGCTCGGTCACCCATAACTGACATGAATTTGAATATTTCATTACAGCGGATCCATATTTGGGGAGTGTGTCAAACT